ACAGCCAATTGTTTTGAGAATTAGACACCAAAAAAATAAGTGGAACCCTAACATTTGACCCATTTTTTAGAAGCCCCATGGTTATGTGCAAATCTCATAACATAATAATTGCATTGCTGTCAAGTGAAATACTGTACTGGTAATAAAGTAAAAAAGTGTTTTGAACGTGCAAACGTTCATCCAATAGCTCATAGGCAAAGGGTTCTTGGCTGTATTTTTACATTTGTCGACTGTATTCAGTATTCAGCAGTGTAAATTCACGAGGAAGCACAGAAAACAGTGACTGGAATTATATTGCTCGAAATTTTCCGCAAAAAAATGACAGGCAGCAGTTAGGAAGGTCAAGTACTGACAGTAAAAGGAAAGGCCTATTAACTGGTCTTTGGTGTGTGTCCTCTGCTGGATATCCTTTCAGGTTTGACATGATTAGTTAGGCCTCTATAAAGTGCTGCGTGGCAGCAATTTGGCAGTACATTACTGAACTTGCTGTAGTGTTTTTGAAGTTATATAATAGTGCAGTATTTCCTATCTAGCAGGTAATTTCCTCTCTAGCAGCGGCTGCTATATCCTGTCCATAACACACCAGTCCACAATCTAGGCTGACATTTGTTTAAATAAAAAAATTGGTCTAATAAGTTCGTCACACGGTGGGGCTTGATGGATGATGGGCAAAACCAGCATGTGGAGGGCTCCCATCCACAAGAACACCAGCAACTCCAGCTTAGAGCCTGGCCACTTTCCACATTTGTCCTGGCTTGCATGTCGACTACACTTTTCATACTCACCGATCTCCATGGTCATGAATCGTTTTGGAGAGCTGGACTGTGAGTGTGGTGATGGGATTTGGAGGGTTTATTTTCATGTCATCTTCAAAACATGGGTCAAGCCTGCTTGAAGGTTGTTGTGATGATGCTCGCTGAGGGCATGACTTGTATGAAGCCCGATTGATACAAATTCACTGTACTGCCTGCGCTCTGAAATATATCAAAATACAGCATTCATGAAAATTATGACTCGTGGTAAGTGCACTCAAGTTAAAAATACAACCACTTTCAGAGGCATGAATGGGACAAACAATGATTGTGTGCTGCCTCGTTAGTGGTGGTAAATCTTAATGCTGTTTAGAGTTGTGAATTATAAGTAAAAGTTAGAGCTTTGTCCAGAGAGGCTGCTCCGGCTGCAGATTGTTGTATTTTGCCACATGCACCCTTTGACTTTTATTGTCGTGCTCATATATAATGTGTTGGCAGGTCGGAAACGTCGAGGAATATGTCTATGGGATGGATGCAATTTACACTCTGATTGCAACCGAGTAACGCAAAATTGGAAAACTCTTTTTCAAAGTGCATCTGCTGTCTCCCTTTGATCAAGAAACGTACAGCCACTAACATGACCTGTGTGCATTCACGTTGCTTTCTGATTGGACACCGTTGCCAGCATAAACCAATTTAGGAGCACATGCATTTATATACAGCCAAATACCTTGGCATGATAGGAATGTGGACCTTGACTCGCACATTTAAGTGCAACACTGTGTTGCAAAATATATAACTAGTTGTGCTCATACTTTTCACTTCGTGTAAGTGTTATGATCTTCTGGTCGTGTGGTCAGTTTTTTTGTATTTGTTTAAAAGTTGTAATGTCATTGGGGTTCCAATGGAACTGCACTGGACTCATGTGCATATGTTCACAGAACACGTGGATACAATCACAATCGGAAACTTAGACAACAACACTCTCGCGTGTAACAAATCAGCCCGCATCTATGATTATAGCCTTTCCTTCCAATATAAAAAAAGCTTCTAAATGCTGCATTTGAATTTTCACAGAGCAGAAAGTTGTCAAATTTGACACTTGGCATATTCAACCGGGTAAGAATGAGTGTGCATACGTAATAAGATGACTACGAGCTAAAGTATCCCATCTGTCTTGAAAAATGCAACTGTGTACAAGGTCAAATTTGATAAAAGCCACTCTGCATTGGTAATGCACACAAGAAAACAAGAATTTGGCCCCATGATGTGATTAAGCCTTGGCACCAGGCCGCATGCAATTGCTGCCTGGTGGCTCCTTAGTCAAGCATCCGTGGAGCCTTGGTAATGCAGAGTAGTGGCTATTGCAAATTAGACCACACACTTTCGGTTGGTTTTCATGTTAAGTGTAATTGGCATTAAATATGACCCAACTTACTATTTAATGGGTCAGCTGAAGAGCATAGATTTAATAGAAAAAACAGTGGACACGTTTTACAGTTTATTTACACGGTAATACATTAAAAACGAATCTTTACAGATTTGTTACATAAACAAACGACTTGATAAACCGTATTAAATGCCTCTGCTCTAATAAGTAATAAATTGTATGTTTTAATTCAAGGTGAACCTTAAATCCTGTGCTCACGCGGCTCTGCAGCTACAGCAATAGTAATTTCTCACCGGCTGGGAAATGCAAAAGAGAAGAATGACCATTGCTCAAGGGATCTCTGGGCCGATGCATTCCACGGTCCTGCATTCGACAATTGCTCAAGCGTCTTGTCGGATAACTTGTAGTTTGATAATTCCAGTATATGCGTAAATAAAAAAAATTGTGCAGATAAAAATGCGCAATTTTCAAATGTCCTTTATGGCAACTTTTGTGTGGGGGGGGGGGGGCATCTTGTAATCCAGTGGGTGTGAGTGAAACCATATTTTGGAAATGTATTGACTCCAGCCACAAGTTTGGGGTATGTTTCAACCTCCTGGGCAATATACCATCTGGAGAATACAGTGTGTGTATATATATAAAATGCATAACATGCAGCGATTTAAAATGACAATTCTAATTTCTTAAGAAATCTGTCCTTAACTCAGACTTGCCCTTCCCGAAATGTCTCATTGACTGCAACTGCAAACTCTCTCAAAAGAATATTCCGCACTCATTCATTCGCTGCACGGTGTCCTGCCCTTTATCCCGAGATACCATTTCCCAACATGATACCTCGCTTTGCAGAGGGCAAGGTGGGTAATGTGGCCGAGTGGTAGCACATTTGCCTTTTGTTGCAGAGGTTCGAGTACAGATGCTGCCCTTGGTTAATATTGTGGTAGTATTTACCAAAAATATGCACCGGCTGCTTCGTTGCGGATATTAAATATCCCCTGATGTCATTCGATAAGGAGTAGGCCATGTGTGCCAGCGTCGTGATCCAAATGTGAAAAATTACTTAATTGGGTCAAACCGCACAGCAACATTGTCTCATATTGGCCGACTTGTCTGTGAAATACAGTACCTCCGATATAACTTTCAACTTTAAGAAGTGTGAATTATAAAATGTACTAAATTACTCTAAATTAGGGGTCAAAAAAAGAACCTACGCCAGACAAAATGAGTTTCAAAATAAGCTTATCCCGTGCAGGATTTCTGTTAACATATCGGTACATGGAGTAGTGCATTGCAATCGCATTGATATAGTTGTTGAGAGATGTGGATTAATGTTCTGTTTTACGTTCTAACATCGTTCTTCCACCAATCATTCCTAGAACTCGCCCACAGCCATTCGCACCACTCTCCTCTTTACATCACTCCCTCTCTCCACTGCTCTTGCCTCCAACGACTTTTTATGAGGGCTGAGTGCTCCCCAGCTTCAGCCGGATTAGGGACGAAGCCCTGAATGAAATGGTTCTCGATCGATGCCACAAACACAAATACAGATAATATTTTACAAAAATTTGTAGGTTTTGTGGTTTTCAGGCTTTTTAATTCGGTATACATATGTAGTGACGAACTCGGAGATGATAAGACTTGCAGGCACTTCTTTTATTGAACGAGCACCATCGGATTACACACACCTCTACGTGGGAACACACTATTACTGTTGCTAGCCTATACACAACACTAAGCGTCGAACACTGACGGCGCTGAACCGAGACAGCCAACAACTATCTAGCAGCGCAATATCGAGTGAAGACGATGGCGACGAGATGGTAACGACGATCTTGAACAGCACAACAGGGGTCCCACTCCAGCAACCGCCACGAGGTCCCTCACAGGGGCCCCTCTTATCCTCTCAGCGTGGCCTCGCTCCGCCCCGGCCACGCCCCCTTTCTGGAACCTACTAGCGGGTTCCCGAGGCTTCCCGATGGGCCCCCCTCTGTGACCTTTGCCCTAGATGCCCCCGTCTCGTGTCTATCCTGGCCTGCTGACTTCAATACTGCCGTACACCACAGTTTCCCTTTTTCGCCAGCAGCCAGCACTATGCCACTACACATTTATAAAAAAAAATCACACCAGCAGTTCAATGTTATATAAAAGCAGATCAAGGTGCAGCCCTCTCATTATTGCTCATGCTACTGCTGGCAGAAGTGGCTTCCACAAGTCGGAGTTCTGAAAAGAGTTTATGGCCTACTCTGAGATGCTGTCCATAGCTCTTGGAAGAGGAGGTAGTACCCTCGATTTACCTTACCATACGTAACCTGGCAACCGACGTAACTGTGGTATACTCATTTATGCTGCTGAGTGGACAAAGGCGGAGGAGTTTTTAAATAAACTTTCACAATGGCTTCAACTTCCATGCGGGGAGATATAACTGACGACCTCTGTTTGGATTGCAAGTCGAGTGTGCTAACCATTACACCACAGCAGCATATAATGTTATATTAATATACAAATGGAACACATCAATATAGAAACAGGACATATTCACTTTCAAGGTTTTACTGACCTTTCATTACAAATATCTTAATTGTAATAGTTTTGTTACCCTACCTTGAGCGTTGTAGTTTTTAATATCAATATTGTTTTGCATGATATCATTACAGTATTTAATCTAAATACATTTGGCGACTCTAATTTAATAGTAAAGAAATGATCTGCATCAACGATAAATTAACAAACACTTAAAAAAACAGCTATTGTCTTTATAAATGTATAATTCTGGAAACAATCTATCTCCTAGAGTTATATTCGGTTGTGTTTAATAATTTGCTGCTGGCTTACCGATAATTATTTTGTTGTTTCTCTTTCAGGAAGCTGCTGTGTTTGGGTAATTGAGTTTTTCATCGCTCCGAGGAAACTGTTACTGGGCCAAGGACGCGTGCCAGGAGGGAGTTGGATTGTGTTTTCATGGCACTCTTGCCTTGTCTGATGGAATTTGAGTCACAGTTGGCAATGTTGCCATTCTGAATGGCCATTGCGAAACCCATCTCAAAGAGGAAAAGCGAAGAAAGAATGGACATTCATCTCTACACTGCTGCAAATCATCTTTACGTTTGCTGACACTTGAAAGGAACTCCTCAACCGTCCAGATGTGTGCATCTTCCAAATAATGCAATACACATGGAAAGATTGCTGCGAAAAACAGCACCCTCTGAGTTTATAACATCTAAAACACTTATCGTTGCATATTGCTGAATCTTCTGCAAATAAAGACCATTCATCAACAACCTTATGTACAGGCCTCAGGAATAAATTGTCTTAAACCACGGAGGATTACTCCTGTGTAGTTCACATCCCTTCATTTTGTCTGCAGGGGTGGTACGACAGACCTTGGGACAAACGTATTGAGATGAATAAACTGTTTTTTAAAGTTTGCAACTTTGAAACATTTTCCTTAAAACCATCCATCTTCAGATGACGACTTCAATCGGAATCGACTGGATCAGTTTTCCTACCCTGGATGATTCATGAAGGGCGTTACTATGATTTCTATTGTTGACTGGCATTTCTGTGTTTTTACTTTTGGAGAAAGCAAAGCCCTTTGGGAGTAAAAAAAAACAACATAATTTTGAAAAGTGGGAAACTGCATCTGCTTTGTGATGTTTGCAATACATCTAGCATGACGATTAGGTGTACCGTGTGCAACATTTTTCTTGACGTTATCAAGTCAGAATTAAATTCTCCATTTGTTATTTATTTGATGGTTTAGATAGATAAAAGGAACATTTTCATTTCAGAAAAAAAATTCCATCCCACTGGAAACGCGGAGAAAGAGAAGTCGGAGCAATGAAAGGCATCATGAGGATTCAACAAACGTCACTCGTTATTCTCGAGCAGTGGCGTACTGCTTCGTGGCGTGGAAGAATATCTCTCCTGCGTCTGATTTCCATGTCCCTGCTCGCGCTGTGGCCTTCAGGGGCACCTGTACACGCACAGGTGTCATTCAGCAGTCCGTACCAGTGGCAAACAGGTACGTACGCTGGGCGGCAACGTGCACTCCTGCACTGTCGCGACTCCTGTATTGTTACGCTCTGACAGGTTGAACACATCACTGTGTTCATTTGTGTTCCGCGTGAAACCGAAACGTGCCCCTGATGCCGAATCTAAATTATATTTTAATTGCTGCAACTGCAAGAATGCCTCTATAGTCCTTGTGAACAATTATGTCCAGTTGGAGAGTTCCATTTACATGGCTCTGTCAAAGTCCTTGACATTTCGACCTCCGTAGTAAACTTGACGAGTGAGTTTTTTTTTCTCTTGCAAGAGCATATTTTTTATGACCATGGAATTGTTGTAAAGGTTGTAAAAAAAAAACCTTTTCAATAGAAAATATTAAATAAACAAATAAAACTAGCCAACGCATACTCAAAACCGCGTGTGAAACCATCCCCAATGTTTTGTTTGGGGATATAAGGAAAATGCAATCAGATTACAAAGTGTTTAAAATTCAGTGCAATTAAGATGTTGCTTCGAAAGTCTCTGTGTCTGCATGCTAATCTTTAAATGTGTTAATCAGTGTCGGGTAAGGAATGTGCAGAGTTGATTGAAGTATTGCGACCATACGTGTTCATTTTTTTTAACAACTATCACCATGGCTGATGGTGACATTCATGGGCTGAATGGGGAATTGAATGAGTTTGGAAAATCCTATACCTTCTAACATTCTTTTCTAGTTTCCCTTGAGTAATGCCTGTGCCATTGTATACTGTGCTTTGTCAATGTGGATTATTTCTTTAGCTGTTACAATTTAAAATATTGCTCATGTTGACTTTTCTCAAACGCATCAAAATAGTATTGCTTGGCTGGTGGAGTAAAATGCGCTTCGAGACACTGATAATTAATGATGAATGAAGATGGATTGCTGGTTTTGATGTTTCAGCCTTTCAGTGTGTTCATTAAAAAAACACAAAAAAACCTTGATAAATCAATTGTGGTTATAGCACCGCTAATTGGAAGCATTTATTAAGGTTCTTGTCACCCCACAGACTATAAGAAATGAGTTATGACTTAGCTCTGAGAGCACCGTCATCATGCTGAGAACTAATCATAATGCATAATTCCCCCAAGTCTAACATTTCCACATTACACAGCATTAAAATATATAAAAAAACGAAACTCAAGACTGAAAACTTAAAAAAAAAATTACGGAGCAAACGGGCGAGCAGCTATTTACGATGCCTTTTCCAAAATTACAGTGTGGAAAAGTGGTGTTAAAAAAAAAGGTGACAAACCGTGCGGGCGAACGCACAAGCGCTCGCGTACATCAGCTCACCTGACGGTAACCCTTTGTCGCCCGTGGCAGCGGATTGTATTGCCGTGAAATGCATTCACCTTCTCGCTGGGAAATTGCCTTGGAGCGTTGTGTTTACGAGATAAACTTATCCCAGCCGTTCGACACTTTGCAACGGCGCCACGTGCCGCAGCCACAATTATATATAAAAAAAACCGCTTTTTGGGAAAATAAAATAAAAAGATAAGCAAGTGAACGTAGCAGCTGCAGCGTCGCATAACGCGACGTCAGCCTTTTGGGGAAGAGGCCTATAACTTGGTTAAGCACTGGTGTTGTGCATGCCGCGGATGGGAATGAACGTGCGGTAATCTGACACTCTCTCGCAGAGATTCTTTGCCCGTCTTTCTCTGTAGCCTCAAGTCAAAGGGGAATCGAGAAGACTTATGGTTGTTTAAAAAAATAAAAAAAATAATGCGCCCAAAAGTCTATTTCTTTGCACCTGAATGTTGTCTTTGTGGCGTTGCGCTGATGCGCCCAAAGCAAGCGTCGGTATTGACCAGGGAAGGCGGATAAGGAGAACTGCACGGGGACTTTTAAGGATGCAGATTACGTGCTCTGACACTATTATGGAGGTTTCATGGATTTGAATTTTAACTAGCCATCAGCAAAAGTTAAAGGGCGAGTTAATTTTGGATATAATGAAACTTTACAACTCTAGGGAAAGAAAGCGCAGCATTAGAAACAGGTTATATTTGTCTGCGGTGCATATTACATGAGTGGAAACAAATAAACAGGCACTGAATGTATTCAAAAGCTATGGCAGATGTCGAGAAACTTAGGCCACCCTTGATTGAAGCATTTGGCTTTGTCAGGGGGCTGCTGTGCTCTGAAGTACGCACGAGAATTTCCATGACATTTGTCTTCCGAGTCAACCTTTGTGTGTAAGCAGCAGAGGCTGCAGTCGTGGTGTGCAAAGCATGTGTGAAAGCCCACTGAAATGCTACCACATCGATGCCGGGAGTGGAGTTATATTCTTAGGTTAACTTGGGGTTAAGCATGGTCAGATTTCACAAGAACCACTGGACTTTCAAAAAGTCCACTACAATCCGCATGCGAGCCTCGGGAGAAGATTTCAAGGCGCCTCAATCACTGTTAGAAATTGTGCTGTGTGCTTTATTCGCTGCTGTATATATTCCGTACAGGCCTGCCACAGAGGCCGTAGGGAAGTGCGTGACAAATGTGCAAATACACTCTTAACAGGTGCAACCTTTTCTCCTTTTACCATGGAAAATGAAAGTGTGCTTACCTCTTCCTTGTCGTAAAAATTGCGACGAGGATGGAAGGTACATGAATGTGTGGAAACCCGAGGGAATGACCGCCAGTTTTTAGATTATTTGACAACATTAGCATGCTGTCATTTTTTATATCATGGTAAAAACACGTTTTTTACGAGAGCGTTCAAACCCAGGCCTTTGATGTCAGTGTAGATAGTCATAACAATCGGTTTTTATGAATATGATTTGGTCAAAAGCAAGGTTATTTGGTTTGTGGCTATGGCTTATGCTGTTGGCATTTGTACTATGGAATTATAATAATGTAGCTTTTTCTTTTGTAGGTTTAAAAGATTGCATTGAAAACATTAAAAAGCGGTCTCAGAGATATGTTATTATAGTTTATGCCTTTTATTACACATGGGTGATCAACGTAGTAATTACATTAAATTAATGAATTGATGAATAGTGTTTGAATTATATTTGTTAAAGTATTCATTGGCGAATGAATTGAGTTGTTTCATTAGCTAATGCATTTATTTCCATACGCATCTCTTTTTTTTCCAGGATAGCTCTATGTCAATGCACAATCAAACTTTTTGGCATTGTATAATTTACATATTGGAAGGTTCTGCTCTGTGTCTATATGCATCACTAATTTATTTTGAACAGTTAATTTAGGAATCGCGTAATATATGAAGGCTTGCATAAGTGCATCGTGTCGAAGGAAATTTAATCGGCTCAATAAAAACATGCGGCACAGAAAATCGGGTCTCCTGAGATGGATCATACTTTCAGTACCAAATCCACTGATGCGGAGAGGATGCCAAGGATCATCCAATAATTAAACAAACACTTTAAATAAAGAATTGCCGGAGTAATATTATTCTGTTTCGATATAAATAATGTGAAGAACGTTTGCATAAAATACAAATAAAGAGCAGTTTCAGCGATTAACATTTGTATGTATGTTTAACTTTTTTCGCACCGTATGTAGCCAACCGTGATAACCAGAGGTGCGGGAAAAGAACAATAAAATATTATCTATCTGTAAATTCATGCAGACAGAAATGCGATGTAATTATAATAACATTTGATTATATAGCTGGGCAACTGCTATATCACACAGAGGACTAGTGTTTTTACATAAATATATACTGGACTGAGTTTAAATTAAATAAACCACTTTGCGATCCTTATCTCTGCAGAAGCATTACATTTTTTTAGCCTATTGCCCTAATGGCCTTCCAGGCTTATGTTAACCAGCAGCATTTGTTTGACAACGTAAACTCTAAACTAGTTTTCATCTTCTTGGGCTCGGTGTGGAATCGGTGTTCGAAGCAAAACACTTCTGATTTTACCAGATATGGTAAGTGTCACTTTGCTATAAAAAAAGTTAAACAGATATTTCATTTGGGAATATGACAGGGTGGAGGGTAAATATATTTCATCACGGAGGACCTGCCGTACGAGCGCTCGGCGATCTTTAATGCCGAGTCGAGACGTGCAGATATTTCCACAAAAGTGGTGGGGGGGGGGGGACTGGACAATTGTTTTGGTCAAATTAGCCACCAGCAATAGCTGCTACACGATAAGATGCGGATTGAGGGTTTAGATGCAAATAAGCAACAATCTTTCAACCTGAAGGAAATACAAACATGATTACGTTCAACTGAGTGTGCACGGTTTAAAATGGCACAGAAAGATCCGGCAAACAATGTTTGCCATGCTCCCAAAAAAACGTATTAGTGATCGGAGTAGACATCAATTTTTACAGTGGTACTTTAATATGCTCGACTCGCAATTCCTCCTATCACGCCACAGCACCCTTATTCTTACACTTTAAATGGGCACAGTGGATCAATATGTAACACCCTGCAGCATGTTGCCTGTACCATGAGGATGTTTTGAGCATTGCATTTACCAAATCCCACCAGGAATACCATCTACTTCCAATCAGTGTGCATGCGAGAATGTAAAAATGCACCAGGGGCACGTGATCAATGTCGGGATGTGATGTGTGTGTGTGTGCATCGGCAGCATTGGGAGAAAATGTTGCACGTCGAGCCGTTGATGTCACACAGCGAACCGCTGGCAATGGCCCTGTGGCCTGAGCTGTTCCGTCTTTTGCTGCACGAGTTGCAGCAGCAACAATATCGCCACACTATGCCACAATCAAAGAAATCTCGGATGCATGCAAAACCAGCAAAGTGCTAAGCCACAAAGGTTACACTCAACACCCATATGTGAAGGACATGCAAATGAAGTCTTAGTTTGCCTGGCAGTCAACGTTTAGAAGGAGAGCTGTTTCTTTGGATCATGCGTGCCACTGTGTTCGTACAGTATTAGGCTGAACGAAGTGCATGGGGAAATTGTATTTTATTAACAAAGCGTTTTGTAAGAAATGTGTTTCTAACAAGTAGATGTTTCGAAGGGCACTGGCTGATAGTGCTTTACTGCGACGTGGTT